ATTCGTGCTTGGTATGAATAAGAGCAGTAACTTCTCCTATTTCCGAATTTTCCCTCATTCTCTTCTCCCTCTCTCTCACATTTCCCAAAATCCTTCCCAAATTCTCACCTTAATTCCTAAGCTAAGCTATAGATAAATTAGCTTAGAGAAACCTTGAATAAGTTGGTTAAGTGGAGTTTAGTTAGCTAGGAGCTTTGGAAGCTAGGAAGGCAAGGAAGAAATTGGGATTAAAGGAGCTTAGTGCAAAGGTAAGAATTTTTAATCCATTGATCTTTGAATTATGAAATTTATGTATAGTTAGTGATGATATTGACATGCAATTGCTTTAAGGTTGGTTAATTGATATAGGAATGAATTAGATTAAGATTAGGGTTTTAAGACCCATTTAAGAGACTAGTTTGAATAAGCGATCCTAAGTGTTTAATTGATGTTTAATTGTCTTGGTCAAGTGAATTAAGGAGTTGATTTGAAGTAAAGTTGAGTGAATTTGAGAAATTGAGAGGTTAAAGATGATGAATAGTGAAAATTTTGAATTTAGGTTTTAATTGAAAAGAATTTTGGAAAAAATGAGGAATTAATGTATAAAAATATAACTAAAGATAAATGGAGTGATTATTGGGTGAATTAAAATAGAATTGATCATTTAAATAAATTAAGAATTGAATTATTAAAGGTTGATTGTTTAAGGAATGAGTTAAAGATTAGCAATGAAATGTGATTAGACAACTAATTATAATCAATTGAAGGATTATAAGAATTAGTTAGATTATCGGATCGAGTCTTTCTAATCAATTTCATTTTTATTTTATAAGCTTATATTTCTAATTGTAGAATAATTCATTGTTTAAATTATTCCTTGCTAAGTGATATTGATGAATGATCCATCATTTTGTGATGCTAGATTTTTCAAAGCGGATGACTCCATCCCAACCATCTTGACTTTCTTTTGATTCTTCAATTGTAATATGAATAGATATTATATTGTGTATTATGTTTTAAAGTTTTTGAATTGTCCATCATGCATCAATGTTTATGAATGATTTACAAGCATTCTAGTAGAATCTTGATGGAAGCGAGACATCGAGAATATTTGAAATGATTTTGCATTCAAATGATTTTATGTGAATTGAAAAGAGATTTGATATGTGTTTTTCGATTTGAACGTGTCTATGTTATGTTCGTTATTTTAAGTATATGCGTATTTTATGAAAATGCATGCTTGGTATTTGAAATACCAATTTAAAAATGTATAAGTGTATTTGGTTTTTGAAAATGTTTTTTGAGACCACGGGGAACCTAGCTACCAAGGGTTAGCCTTTAAGCTCAATGATACGAGGCTCCATCTAGCAAGAGAGGTTTAGTTCTAATCGTATGTCGACTAACATGCGAAAACCTAGTCACGAGAGGATGTGACCTTTGGTTAGTTACACTTAATGATACATTATTCCCCACGGGTGTATAAAACCTATATATGTGTTTTCGTATGAATACAAAATATGTATGATAAGTGTTTCGATGATTTTATACGAAATGGTTTTGAACCATTTAATTATGATATGAAGTGTGTTTTCGATATGTATGTGTTTTTGAGAAATAAGCATCGAGCTATTGATTGCTCACTCCTTATTATTTCGGTCTTTTAGGATATCGAGGGATCGATCATTGTTTCCTTTTGGTCGTTTGATTTGAAGTCGACACTCGGATCGTGTGACTTATTTCCTCATAAGTTTCTTATAACCTATGTTTATCTTAAATTGTAATCTTAGACGCTCCGTAGTTATAGTCGTGGGTAGTGTATTAGAGTTCGATTAAAAATATTGATCTTAGATATTGAAATAAGAATAACATGGAATTTATGAGATGTATTAATATCAAAGAAATGTCTATTAAATTAAGATTAATGTGAAATGAAAATGATAGTTGACACCTGGTGATGATTTGAGAACTTTAAATTATCATCCGATGCTTGCTCGGTCGAAGTGGGCCTTACGGTTCTCTTAGTTCTTGTGTTGGTCATGGCCTACTCATGGGGTCTTAAAGATAATGAATAATATTAGTACATAAAATTATATTTAAATTATTAGATTGTTATTCTAAAATATTATTTAAATTATTTTATTAAAAATTTTTAATTTTAAAATATTAAAAAAATAATAGCAAATAGTTGGTATTTTGTATGTAGATGCATAGTTGATTTCTAATAAAATCAATGACTATAATATTATTTTTTTTATACATTATGACCATACTTAATGGTTGAGAATATATAACATAAATTGAAGAATATTTTTTAAAATTAAATTACAAAATATATATTAAAGTTAACGAGTGCAATAAAAACTATAAAAATGATTTTGATGAATTTGATTATATAAAGAAAAAAATAAAATACATATATTTTATTTTTTAAAGTTGATTATATAAGAATTAATAAAAAAAAACAGGTATAAAAAAAACTTACTCAAATCTATGCATAGAGAAAATAAATCATATTTATTAATAAATAAAATTATATAAAAAATAAGAATAAAAATTAATTTAAAGAGAATATTTATAATAAATCAAAAAGATCAATTTTAAACAATAAGATTAGTATATATTTATTCTAAAATCTAAAAACATATCGTATATATTATATAATTGTTAGTTCATGTCGAAAAAAGTAACGGTTAATTTTTCAAAATTTTAATACCCGATTAAATAGAAAAACATAAATTGATGGAAGAAATCAAAAGAAAAAAAAACCAAAGAAAAAAAAAGAATGTGTGATTAAGATTACTTGAAAATTGGTACATCGACCGGGGATTAAATTTTGTATTTTAAAAATTTAGGGACCAAAATGAAATAACTTGAAAATTATATATAAAAAAAACTAAGCTATAGTAAATAAATAGTGAATTATGAGAGGATGAATAGTAAAAATCACTATTCAAAATGCTCACTTCTTTTAGTTTCTTTGTAATAATAATAAAAAAAAGAAACGAAGACTTAAAAACTAATATTTTGAAAGTAAGCATGTTGTGTTGCTAGCATGTAACAAACTTTCAATTAAAAGGTGCAAAAAATATCATGTAATATCATTTATACAAAAAGATATCGCTTGACATCATATTTACATTTTAATAAAAATAAAAAATTAATTTTATTAAGCTATATTAGGATTTTTAAAAAAAAAATTCATAACTTTGCATACCGAAGGAACTTTGTTTCGTTAGATTTGGTAATTCTTCGAGATGGATGGAGTAAATCGATGAGTGATTGAGATTTTAAAGAGAACATTCGTTCAATTGTACCTTTGACTTGTCCTAGACCTTCGAAGTCAAATTGAAATTATCCCTTTAAGTCATATAAGCTTCTAACTTTTTTCAATTTGGTAATTTTAACGAGTTACTTGTTAATCATATTAAGTTATCTCCTTTATTTTAAAGTGAGGATTTGATTTGGTACATGGTAGTTATGATTTTATGATTTGAATATATAGTAAAGTGTAAATGGTAATAGTACAAGGCTTTGGAGATACTAGAGATTTATATAGAAAAACTCTTTTTTTTTTTAACACACCAAGTTGATACACTTTTATATTCATGTATAGTAGGGCTTGACACATTCTATGCCTATGTACTTTAACAAAATTATCATCACAACTTTTGTACCTAAATATAGTTCATAACCGATCTTATATTATTAAAATTTGGTATAAAATAACCCTTCGTTATGTTTTTCCATTAGCTTAATTAACTTATGTTAGTTAACCTACGAATGACCAATATAATGTTGACACCTATTAATTTGAGGGTAAAAACATATTTTTATTTTTATTTTTATTTCTTTTGACTTTGTTTGAAGTTAAGATCATTTAAATTAATTTATAAAGGATTTTAAATTGAAAAGAATATAAAAAAACATTAGTTCTAATCGTGGTTTGTTATTTCGGTTTGTTGAACCTAGACAAAAAAAGAATCAACTAAAGCTAGAAAATTATCATAAAAAAGGAATTGACCAAAACTAAACAATTATCCTAAAAAATAAATAATTTACCATCTTTTTTGTCGGTGATTGTCTATTTATCTTCTTGGTGTAGTGTATGCTTAGTGGTCTTTCGATCTCCTTAATCTTTTTTGTGTTCTTCGTCCGTCTTTTTGTCTTTCATCATCTTTCCTTCTCTCTTCATCTATCTGTATTTCTTCATCTCTCTCGTAACTCTTTGACTTTCTATCAGTCTTTATCTATTAAAACCAATGTTTGTTTTTTATAGTCTCTCGTTTTCTTAAAAAAAATAAAAATTAGGGTTTAATTTTCCTCTTTGTTTTTCTCGCCTCTCTTGTCTCTAGAAAATTATCATTTACAATTTGATGCAAGCATTATTTGAAGGATTTTATGTAAGTGTTACTCGTATAAACATGACAATGCATTGGCTTTTTCTTTAGGATTTGTCCTTAAGGTAACCCAATCACTATTTCTTTAGTATGTGTTTCCTTTTTTAATTACATATAGTCCATTGATGTCAATAATATTATTTTCTTTTATGTAGGTTATGCCTAAAGATGTCATACATTTTAACTTTTTATATTAGAGGGGAGTTCAATAAGGCCGGTAGTTTAGAATATATTGAGGGTGAGGTATTGAAAAGGTTAATGACCTAAAAAAAACTATATTTTGAGTGCTTGTTGGGATTGTACGTGGATATAGGGTATTCTAATAGTAGTAAACTATATTATACAATGGTAGAAAGTGGTTCCATATTAGAACACGAGCTTAAGAACAATTATTGAGTTAAGCTGATTTTTATATTTGGGATATTATAAGTTACTTCTTTTAGGGTAAACAAGTTCAAATTTATGTTAAACACAATGAGAGGGACTACCCATTTTTGTTTGATGAGACAACAAGTGTTATGTGTGCTAGGTAGGATATTAATGATAAGAGTCGGTGGGTCGGTCCATATAGTCTAGGAGAGAGTAATTACAATATTAGGACTAAGGTTGTCGTGACTCAAAAATATGATGCCGAGTGAGGGTAGTGATGTTATGAGTGGTTTAGGTGAGGGTAATGGGAATGATGGATCAACTAAGGACAATGTGAATAATAGTTGTTATATTGAGGGTAGTATGGATGGTAGTTGTTATGCTGAGGGCAATATAGACACCGGTGGTGCTACTAAGGGCGATGTGGATAATGGTTGTTATGTTAAAGACAATGTAGATAGTGGTTGTAATGTTGAAGGCAATGTAGGCAATAATAGTGTCTGTCGAGGGAAATATAGGTAATGCTAGTGGTTATGAGGGCAATATGAGCAGTGATGGTACTTATAAAGGCAATATGGGTAATGGTGGTGATGTTGAGGGAAATGTAAACAATGGTTGTGTTGCTAAGGACAGTGTGATAATATTAGTGCTTATGAGGGCAATGTGGGTAGTGGTGATGCTGCTAAGGGCAATGTAGGTAATAGTGGTGCCATTGGGGACAATATAGGAATTGGTGGTTATGGTGAAGGAAATATGGCAGCGATCATGGTGAGGACAAAATGGGTAGTAGTGGTTATGATACGGATAATTTGGACGAGTGGTGATGCTATCGAGGTTAATGTAGGCGGTGTTAGTGCTTGTGAGGGTAATGTGGGCGGTGGTGGTCATGGTGAGGGCAATATGGACAATAATGGTCATGGTGTAAATAATTTAGGTCGTAACGATGATAACATAAGTATAAATGAAAAAGACATTAAGGAGGCGAGTATTGGGTTGATATTAATTATTTAAGAGATGATGATGATGAAAAGTGCTTGAGAGATAAAAAAGAAGGCAACTAAGTTTTTTCGGAAAATGGTGGCTACTAAAAAAAGAGTTATATAAGGTCGGGGTTCGGGGTAGTGATGTAGAAGGGAATACATCCGCCACTAATTCGGAGGAGGATTAACTTAGTGAAGATGAATACAATACTATTCATATAGAAAAAAAAAGCTATAATTACGAGAATAGATAAACGGGAGATGAAAAAAGGAAACAGAAGAAAAAAGGAAAAGATGTGGTTGATGATGGTGGTGGTGTTTGTAAGCATGTTGTCAATATAGAGGCAAATAGACTAATTTCAAATCTCATGATAATTTCGGTTATATCAATGCTGAAGATGAGAGTGATGCAAAACCTTCTATGAGAGTAAAATAAATAAAAAAATATTTCAATTTTAATGAGGAGAAACCCTTCTTTTAGTCGGGAATATTTTTTTAAACAAGAAGACATTTAGATAAGTAGTTATAAAGCATGGTATAATAGACTATACAAATCTAAAATTTAAGAAGAGTGATCTAGATAGATGTAGGGTTATATGTAAAGATGATAATTGTAAATGAATAATTTTATATTCTCCCTATTTGAATATTGGAAATTGGGTTATGGAAACTTATAGTGGTGAGCATATAATACAAACCTCATACAATAGCCTAATCAATTACAAGATAATTACGAAACACTTCAAAAAGAGAGGAATTAATTTCACAATAATGCATGCTTTTGAATTGGTGGATAGAACTTTGAAAGGGTTACATTGTACTTGTTAGTCTTTTTAAATGTAAAAATAGTTTGAGGTTATTGAAAAATATGTTCTTTGGTCAAAATAGCAATGGATGTTAAAAATTAGAGGATTATGTTGTATAAATTAAAAAAACCAATAAAGATAATGTTATTGTAATACAAACGAGATGATGATAGATGTTTTAAGAGAATACATATGCAAAGATGATAATTGTAAGTGGGTGATTTTATGTTCTCCTTATTTGGATACTAGAAATTGGGTTATGAAAACATATAGTAGTGAGCACACTCGTATTCAAACCTCACACAATAGGCTAATCAATTACAAGATAATTAAAAAAAAATTACAAGATAATTGTTGAACACTTCAAAAGAGAGGAATTAATGTCACAAGAATGCATGCCTTTGAATTGGTGGATGAAACTTTGAAAGGGTTGCATTGTACTATTAGTCTCTCTAAATGCCGTAATAGTTTAAGGTTACTAAAAAGTATGTTCTCCGATAAAACTAGCGATGAATTTCAAAAATTAGAGGATTAGGCTGCAAAAATTAGAAAAACCAATAAGATAGTGTTATTGTAAAACAAATAGACGGTGATAGATATTTTAAAAGAACATATATTGGTTTTAATGCATTAACTAGGGGACTTAAGCATGGTTGTAGAAAAGTAAATAGATTTGATGTTTGTTTATTAAAAGATCCTCTTAAAATAGAGATTTTATGTGTTGTTAGTCGGGATGCTAATAACTAAATATTTTCTATTACTTGAGCTATTGTAGGATGGAAGAGTACAAAAACTTAGAAGTTCTTTATCATCCAAGTTGATGGTTAATTTAGGAATCAACATGGGAATTGGAAAAAGACATACCTTTATTTCTAATGGTCACAAGGTATTAATATTGTCTTTTTGTTTACAAATGATGATGTTTGTTTACAAATGATGATGTTTGTTTACTATTTTGATTATTTGTTTAATAATTTGTTTTGGCTATTCGTTTTGTAGGTTTTGATTAGAGCAATTCATGAGCTAATGCCATATGCCGAGCATAAAAAGTAAGTAAGCCACATCTTTGCTAATTATGAAAAAACCAATAAAGGTACTACTCTACATAAGCGAGTTTTAGGTAACGTGCAAAGCAAGCACACCAACATACTTTAAACAACAATTAAAGAAACTTGGTGGCATTGTAAAATAAAAATTTCTAGAAATCGACCCTACTTTTTGGTGTAAAGCTTTTTTCAAAATACATTACAAGTTTGACATAGTTGATAACAACTTATATGTGACTTTCGATTCTTTTATAATAAAGTCAAAGTTTTAAAGTATTATTTTTTTACCTTAAAACCATTAGACATCTAGTAATAGCCATAAATGTCGAGAGTAAAAGTATGCGAGAAAAGTTTAAAAAGAGGATTGATATAAGAATATAGGAGAAAAAAAGACATATGTGATGAATTTTAGAGATACAAGATAATACATAATGACCATAATTGATATGAAGTGAATGAGTTAGAGAACACTCGTGTTGTTAACTTGGAAAAACATTAGCACATCTATAAAAAAATAAGACCTAATTGGGCTATAATATGGCCATGTAATGGTTATTATCGAGTCTTAAGACTCGAATAAGGTTTATTATATTGTCGAATGCTATAAGTTAGAGAAATTCAAAAAGAGTTGTGAACATTGCATTTAGCCAATGCAAAGTAAGAAATTCTAGTTTAGAAATGAGAAGAAGGTTGTTCTTGCATCAATATTGAAACCAAAAAAAGTAGACCAAAAAAACTTAGGATTAGAGAATAATGAGAGCCTTCTTCCGGAGCGCAATCTAAGAAATAAAGAGTTATGAGATGCATATATTTCCATAGAAAGAGACACGATAATAGATTATATATTTAAAAAATAAACATATGTACTCGAATTATGATTGCTTTAATTAAGTTTATATTGTATTGAGTTTGTTTATGTTTTGTTCATATAAAAAAATAAAAACAATGATGGTGGCTTAACTGGAGATGTTTCGGTTGGTCATAATGCTAATATGGTTTATAATGTTAAAAATTTAATTAGTGGTGGAGATGTGGATAATGGACATGATAATGTTATCTCGTGTAGTTGCTCTTAGAAGTATGAACAACGGACATGATATTGTTGATACTGCTATTGGAGATGCGGACATGATGTTTTTGTTATTGTTGCTAAATATGTGGGTAGTTGACATCATAATGTTGTCCAAATAGTTATCGATGAAAATATGGATAGTGAAAATATGGATCAATCGATAAATTTTGACACTACTTAGTGGAGAAGTTGCACTAATTGCTAAAAAAGAAAAAGAAAATATTTACATAATGCCACTATAATGGTTGTTGAATTACATATAAGAATAACATGGAGAAACGTAGCTACTCAATCCGAATTATCAAGAAGAGTAACAATGAGAAATACCAGTTGAACATCATTGATGTTGTATTTATTTGTTTTATTTACATGAGAAATACCGAGTTGAATACCATTGATTTTGTATTTATTTATTTTAAACACCATGATAATGTTTTTTGTGTAATTACTCGCTAGAAATATAGGCAATGGATATGATGTTGTTGATACTTGCTATTGGAGATATGGGCGAGTGGATATGATGTTGTTAATATTATTGCTAAAGATGTGGATAGTGGACATGATGATGTTATCCATATAGTTCGTCATTGAAAACATGGGTAGTGGAAATATGGATCAATCCATAAATTTTTACATTGTTGATGAAAAAGTTGCACCAATTTCAAAAAAAAAAAAAAGAAAAAAGAAAATCTTCACATAATGTCACTACTACGTACTGCTGAATTACCTATAAGAATGACACGGAGAAACTTAGCTGCTCAATTTGAATGATCAAGAAAAGTAACAAGGAGAAATACTAGTTGAGTACCATTAATGTTATATTTATTTATTTTGTTTACATGAGGTTAAATACTATGAATTGCCTCTTAAACGTGTTAGACATCTTTTGTACTTGAAACTTTCTTTATAAAGAAAGATCTATGAACTTCTAATCCATTGCTTTTGTTAAATTAATTTTTTTGTTTCAACATTTTGTTAAATTCATCGAAACCATATCAACAAATAGGAAACTCATGGATAAACAATATAATATATTGTAATTTGAAATTCAACATGATAATAGAATATTTTTAATTATAATTCATAAGTTTTACATCGATTCTTAATTATAATTCAGAATCATGACATCAATCCTTCACTTGATGAAAAACAAAGCATATCAAGAATAATACACATAAAGCTATTCTTATGTTTAGCAATTTTTGACTTCTAGAAACCTTCAAGTCTGAAATTTCTTACTCTAACTCTTCAATTTTGTTAACTAATTTTTTTCTTTCTCCTAACATAACTTCTTAAAATTATGTTCAGCGAGACAATAACTCATACTCTTCTCCTTTTTTCATCAACTTATCTCTTAATATTTAATTATGTAATTCTATTTCACATATCTTTCAACCCATTAATGATAACTCCTTTTTGTTTCTCCAATTTTAGGACCAATAAACTCATAAAAACCACATAGATTTTTTTCTTTTGAACAAACATGAAATTGCAAACTCGAATTTTCATTCGTTCGGGATATCCGTCTCGTTATCTTCAAACCAGGATAACAATTTATTTTTAGACACCCATAATCCCATATGGGTTTTCGATGAACAAAAGAGCATAATTTCTTATATCTTGCTTTACTAGATGATGTTGAGGAAGAAATGTAAGACGAGAGAAGAAGAAGAAGAATAAAACATAAGTGATGAATTATAGCAACAAACAAATTATTAAAGATTTGTTACTCAATTGTAGCAAGAGAAGAAGAAAATCTAGGATTAATCGATTTAGGTTTGCTAGAGAAATTTAGTAGTCATATCCAAGTACAAATATATATTATACTGTGTTAGCAAATCACGACTAGTTAAACTATTATGTATATGTGTATATATATACACTTATACATAACGGTTTAACTAGTCATGATTTGCTAACACTGTATAATATATATTTATAATTGGACATATATATACACACGTACATATACATAACGAGTTCAAATAGTCATGATTTGCTAACACGGTATAATATATATTTGTAATTGGACATCACTACTAATTTTTTAAATAACCTTAACTTAAAACAAGTTAGGAAAAAACAATATTATGTTTTCAACTACAAA